CAGAAAAGTGTGAAAACAGAGACCCCATCTTGGTATCAATTTTTTCTTACAAATCAATCATCTCACCATTTTCAGCTTTATCAATTTCCTTATCGTTTTGATAAAATGTATACTTTGATCTATTTTCAAGCATACAAAAATCATATCTTTTTTATTATTTTATGCATGTCATTAGCCTTGCATTATTATTAAAGAGAAAAAAGATTATTAAATTCCCTATAACTATTATTAGATTTTATGTTAGATTATCAAAATCCCTACAATTTCTAGTAAACCATAAGTTTTTGGCCATATCAGATTCTTCAGTAGAATGTCATTCTATTTTTGATCTTTAATGTCTAGACACACTGGATAAATCACACCATTAACTTTTATTCATCTATACAGTCCTATTAAACTATGCACCTTGAACAACAGATTTTATGTATACATACAGTATTAGTATTAATTATGCTGCTTTCTAGGCAATGAGTTAGACATACTGTATGAAGTATTTATTTATGTACACCAAAATATTCATTATTATTATTAACTAAGAAAGATTAAGACAATATGATTAATAACTATAAGACTGAACTGTGTTGCACATACTGTTTGAAGTGTGTACTTAAGTAAACCAATATACTGTACACATTGTATAATAATAGTGGCAGAAGTAGTTAAATAATTTATCTAATAAATATAACAAGTCTTTATCGTTTGACATAGTGAGTCACATTTAACATTATTAATCACATACCTTAAAAATCTTCTCATGAGCTGGGGCTCACAGTGGACCTGCAGTGTTAACAAGCAGCACCTATTTCCCTGTTTTATACTGGATTCTCCTGCTTGGGGAATATTTGAACATCTTCTGTGCTGTTGTTTTCCTTGTGGAAATCACTTAATTGCTGAAGACCTAATGACTTTGTCCTTATCTTGTTAATGAAAACAGAAAGACAAAACAAATTAACTCAGTGTAACAGTGAGAAGTGTAAACTGGACAGAGAATACACCATAGGGATCTTCTGTGCACTTCAATTCCTTTGATATTGAGCTCATTTGTAAAGATTAAAATGTCATGTGCAGGTATGTCCTTAGCGGTTTTATTGATAAAATAATATTACACTTATGAAACATCATCAAACAACATCAATTATACTGTTTAACCAGAATTGAACTTAGTGAAGTACTGGATATTAGTTCTATGATTTTGCTACCATACAACTCTTCTTCAGGACAGGGGCACTTTCTCTGCATGGACTTTTATGTTCTTCCAGTGTTCCTGTGTGTTTTACCATGTGCTCCAGTTTTCACCCATATTCCAAAAATCATGCCAATAATATTTGATTGGCTGCTTCATACTGTTGCTTGTTCTCTGGCATTTTGATAGTCAGAATTTCCCAACAGACTCTGGGCTACTGCAACGTTCACCGGGAATAGAGGCTTTCTGATTGTGAAAGCATGTTGTATACTTTTGACTTGTTCGGGGCATACATGTTGACCTAGAGCTGAAAACCGTAACATTCAAAACAACAGGGTTGCTATTTAGATCTGTCTACACTAGGTTTTATTCAATCAAGCTAAGTGCCTGTATGTCTTCAAAAACCTGACCTGTTGCTATAATAAAGTTATAAGACATTTTGAGGATATTACAGGTACGCTGAATTAGAAAAGCTAACAGAGCAAGGAACTAGCAAGTGCTTCCATTGAGTTGATTTGTTCCTTAACACTCTTCCATTTTCTCAAGGTTTAGTTTAATAAATATTTCAAGATAATTACAAAATAGTTAAAAACAACAGAAGGAAAATTACAAAATAGAACTATTTAATCCGTGTGGATTTCTTATTGATGGATTTACATTAACTTGTGAACAAGTTGACATGGCCACTAACTGCATTTCTTCGCAATTCATACAGTATTTTGCAGATATATGACAATTCATTTGTCAAACATGTAATTGCCAGTAGATCCTGTGCAGATCAATTCTATAGTTCAGACATCCAACGTATTCAAGGAAGTGTCGGGAATTCTTCATCTCATTTCCAGAGTCAAAATAGTTAAAAATAGCTATATTTCTGTCTGAGCTAAAAGAAGAGGTGCAGGATATGAAAAATCAAGAGATCATGTTAACATCCTTCTGAATTTTATCCAAAGCTGTTAGTCTCTGTTTTGCTGGACATATTACGTGCAGTCATTGTAAAGGGTTCTATTGAATATTTCAATATTGCTGCTGAATCCCCATTACTGCAAGGACATAAGGGTTCCTCTCTTTGAATGAGCTACCATCCAATTTCACTAATTTATACAAATACCAAACTATTAGCTTTGATTATTTCAAGCTAAGTGAAGTTTGTACATAGGTCTGCATTAGTTCTCCATAATCAGAAGTGTTTTATGGGTTGTCTGGCTTGTGATAATGTTTACCAATGAAGGCTCAACTACTGAAATAGTCTCCCCATGTAACCTTATGTAATTAATAAGAAGACTTTTAATCCTTGTCTGGATTTTTTATATTATGGATTATATATGTGTGGAATTAGGTTTCATTACTCTAAAATCTCTTAGAATTCAGATTACACTGCAAATTCTATTGTCTTCTATAAACTCTCACAATCTGCACTATGTCTTCTCTTCAATAAGGCTTAGAGCAAATTCCTTAATCTAAACTTTTAACTTTTTATTATTGTGGCATAATGTACAAGACATTATATAGAATAGTGTAAAATTCAGTTAATACACAATAAATATATTCCTTCTCTGGTAGATGAGCCTCTTGTATGTAGCAGTTTAATTGTAGCTTATACAGTAAGTGGCACAGCTGCTTGGCTGTCATTACAGAAGAAACAATCAGAGGACTAGGGGAAGCATACAGTATGTTCTTGTTTTGCTACATCTAGCTCTTGTGCCACATTAAAAATAAAGCTGCTGTGTTATCTCTTTGCACTGTTTTTATTGCTGCCTTTCCCTTCGTACCTAAAAGAATTAGGTGTCAAATAACATTAATACCCTGTAATTTAATATCTTCACAACTGGACATTTGTTATAGTAAATAGTTATCGATAATTCGTGAAAGTCAGTGAATGAGGGGCGCTGGTTT